TCGGGTAACTCCGACCTGGGAGTGTGGGCTGAACTTACGTTTAACTGAAGTGAGGTTAGTGAACTGTTTATACCAGATCGGAGTTCGGATGTCAACATTTCCCATTAATACACTATTCAAAAATACATTTTTTCCAAATTAATGTGGCTCAAACAAGGGCTGAAAAACTCAAATCCTCATAGATGAGGTGAAGGAATTGTTGTACAGTGCAAGAAACAATTTTGCAATGCACGAAGGAGTCCTTTTGGTCGAAGAGAAAGGTTGGAATTCCTGCCCATTAGCTATAGACTTCCTTGTCATCTTTCGACTTAGCACTAAGCCAAATTACCGGTGCTTTCTAATCCAGTATATGTGATTCTTGTTGACGCATATACTCGAGGATGGTTGCAGAATGGACGATTTTAAAGTAGACTTTTCATTAATTAGAAAGAGAATATCACCAATAGTTTGTTCTTTCTTGCCGAAAGTATTCCAATTCCAAGAGCTTGGATCTGAAACATATGCCTACTCAGCTGCTTTTTGTTCAATTTTTTCATGAAATCAATTCGCATAGTAGCCTTTTTAATCAATACAAAAGATAATATTGGTTGTAGTTTTCCTAACATATCAAGTCAATAAGTCGAGGCTCCTAGAATGGGAGGAAAGGAGAATGGACAAGGAGGTTCCTTTCAATTTTGATTTGGTATAGATTACAAATTTTGTTTTCCGTTCTACCATTCCTAAGAAAGGAATGAATTGGGTAAGGCTCATAGCAAATGGGAGGACAAGAGAACGGATAAGCAGGCTCCTTTCATTTTTTGATTTGGTATAGATTACGGATTTTGTTTTCCGTCCTACCATTCATAATGAAGGAATGGGGTAAGGGATACCAGCTCCTCCTCTTTCCTCCCGAAGGGGGTTGATGAGGGGGTATAATGCCTTTCCTAACTTTGTGTTTGAGGATGGAATCCTCAAGAAAAGTTGGAGTGACAGTTTCTGCTCATTGGGAGGTCTGAGAAAGGAAGTATCCTGTCATTATAGTAAAGTAGTATACGATCTATACAAGATACAGTCGCTTTTTCAAATTAAAATTAAAATTGGGATATCGATAAAGTAGTTGAGATCATAGTCTTCAACTCTCAACACGGTACAAAATATATAACACGGGATTACAATTGTTCGAGCAAAGAAAATAATGAATACATACAAGCTTTGTACATTTAAATCCAAGGACATTAGAGGATCTCCTAGAGCTCAAGATCCTAAAAGAAAACAAAGTGATTGAACAAGATTGATTTTAAAGTTAGCTTTTGTACTAGGTTTCTTCGCACCTCAAAACGAGTAGTAGTATCTCCAGGGCGCCAATATAGTTACCCTTTGGTTCTCGTAATTGTAATGCTGCCTTTTCCACCTTCAGTACGAATTTTAGTTTTCCCAAGTACAGGCTTCCCAGAAATAGCAGATGTTGGATAAGAAACTGCGCGATCTTCATTGTTTTCCTCGGGTTCTGATGGAGTATGTATCCTCTGGTTTATGTCTTTCAGAGTCACATCTCCGTGCATGCCACATGGTTTAATGAAGGCAAATGGATAGACGACAGACGATGCTAGTTTAGGAGGAGTCTGCATGTATGATTTTCGGCCTGAGAAGTTCAGAAACAAAATTAGACATGTCCTAGTTAAGGCCGAACATGAGTTTTACATATGGCGCTTGATCATCATAATTAACAAGGAGAAAAAGTAAAACGAATACCTTTGAAAACAATGTTTTTGTGAGGGCGAACAGGAAGTTTTTGGACTGCATTAGCTTCGTATTCAGGAGGGGTGTCGAAAAGCTCTGCCGTAGTACATTTAAAATTTTAAAACAGACATATAATTAGAACTAAAGACTACTTTCGCATACCTGTGATATCAATCTGAACATCAGATACCCCTGAGACACAACTACAACACAGAATAAGCTTGTCAGCAAAAAAATTTTTACAAGAAAATGAGTAAATTGAAACAAGAAATAGAAAAAAATAAGAAAAAGTGTACATGTCCTCGGAATTATATTGCATCTCCGAATCCATAAAGCAATCGGCAAGCCATCCTTTGGATGAGGGGTCCAAGCACTCATTACCAGGTGCATACGTATCTTATAGAGAAGTATGAAGAATTTTTTAGTCGCAATCCTCTACATATTTATAGATTAGTCCCTATCGATATCCGAAAAAGGAAAATTTACAAGAACAGACCTGTAAATCCGCCAACCCACTGTGACATTTCAGATGAAGCCACTTCAAGAGACTCTGGTGTTTCCTAATCATAGATATAAAAACATGTCTAATTATTATCTATCTATGTTCAAGTTAGTGCTGATGAACTAACTTTTTTACTCTGGCAAATTCATAATGCTAGACGTGAGAATTTCCAAAAGAAAAGAACACCAACCTTTGACTTTAAAAATGCCTCGTCATTGTAAAGAGGTGTATCCAAAACTTCAGACTCAAACTGTAGCATTCGGCGCCTTTTTACTTGTGAAGGAGGTTCCCCACGTTTCTCCAAGTCTTCCTCTGCAATTTCTGGAGTTCATGCCATTGAAATAACGAGTAATTATATATGAATTCCAAATTACTCGTCCCAGTATATTAGTTATATGTTAATTTTAATCTGTGGTGCATATGTGAAGATGTAGTCTTCGACAAAAGTCATTTTCAAGAGAAGCGCAGACTTGCAAAACATATATTCTCGTTGGCAAATAACCAAAATGGCAGTGAAAAACAGATAGAAATGATATATGTTCAAGTAATAGCCTACCAAAACTAGTCACTTGATACGCCAAATCTCCACAGGCCTTAACAGGGGTAGTTTCATCATCAAACATGTAAGAGAGATCTTCGTTTTCATTTATTCCATTCATTAGGCATTCGGTTATTTCTGCCCAACATATAAAGACAAGTCTAGAATCAATGACCTAGTATGAACAAACAAATTATGAAGGGTAGATTAAAACCGCCATAAGACTCACCTAAGCTTGCATTTTCTTCAAGAGAGTAAGTCTGACTTTGCCAATCCCACATATGACTGTAACAATTTCACACGGAAAATTCGATATGTTAAGCTTAATGTGACTTAAAATTCCAAAGTGAGAAAATGTTGGGAAAGGTGAATTGCACGCGACAGTATTAATGATGCAAAAAAGTCTAAAATCTTGTCTAATGCTACTTACCAAACATGCCAAGGTTGAAATTTGGAAGAAGAATCATTAAGTGGAAATATCAAAACTGAAATCTTTGAGCAGGATACTAGATTAAAGGTATCGGGCGGAGAATTCGACAAAAGGAAATGCAGATCCAACAAAAAAAAAAAAAAAAAAAAAAAATAACACAATCTCAAGAATGGAATAACTCTACTAAAACAGATCAAATCCAGTCATTTAAAATGAAAATTTGGCAGGCATTTTTAGCAATAAATTAAGATCGTAAACAAGAAGGATCTCAATTTATCTCAAGTTGTTCATCAAATTGAAGCAGAATTAAACAAAACCAGTAGCCAAAACACAAAATTTAGCACAGCCCATTTGACTTATCACATTTCATCCATAATCCATCAATTTTTTTTTTTTATAATAAAGATAAAAAAAAAAATAGTCTGCATTTTCCAGCATTTACCCATCAACAAGAATCACAAAGATATAAGGGGGAAAAAAGGAAAAAGACACTCCCCATCAATCAAACTTAATCGCAAAGTCAAAAATCAGTTAAATTTCAAGAAACTGAACTCACCTCTCATTGTTGTAGTTCATTTTCTCTGAGTTTTTACCTAAATCTTAACTAAACAAGATCAAGAAAAAAAAAAGAAAATGACAGTAGTGTATAAACAAAAATCGTAAATATCTATTACAAAGGATTTGTACATTCAAGTATATGCGTACGTATACATTGGAGTGCATAAATAAGTGCAGATATACAAATGAAAAATAATAAAAAGACCAGTGGACAGAACTGCCCTATAAATGCGCAAATCGTGTGCTAGTGGGGTGTCTGCTTGGATTTTTACGGGTTGACTGAATTGAGTATATGTTCCGGGTTATTTCATGTCGGACCTTCAAACCCGGACCATATGGTAAATGGATTCTTGCCTTGTTTTATTCACAGGGAAATTTCCCTTTTTTCTTTTTTGGAATAAATCGATCACTCTAGGAGGGACGAGATCGTAGTGTGAATGTGTGCTCGGTAAGTATTTCTTTTCTGATTTGAAATTTTTGCAAGTATGTAAAAGCAAAAGAGAGAAAAATAAAAATTTGTATTTTGTCCAGTAAATTTCAGATCGCGTTTGGTAGGTAATGGAGATAAGACTGAATTTAAAATGGCAATTAATAAGGTCTTAATTATTCACCTAATTAAATAAGTGGTCAATGCACAATCATCATCATTTGCACAAATCATGTTTTACTCAAAACCATGCAACTTGTTTCATACAAACCTGGTATTTGATTCTAATAGTTTTCTTTGATATTATGCCCCCGTTTAGTAGCAATTTTTAACATTAAAAAAATCAATTTTTGATCATTATTTTACTATTTCAAACGTCACATGTGCAACTTTACAAGATACGTGCCATGCACGACACAAGTATGTAATTGGAAACTTATTCCTTCCGTTAATTTTAATGTAATTCTAATTAATCTTAATAAGCACATTTGCTTTGTTGGCCGAACAGCATAATTGAATAGCAAAATGTTTGTACCTTGTCTTTGTCACTCAAAGAAAAGAACGATAATCGAACTCGAATTCCACAGTCGAAACTTTGAGAGCGTTCATAATAATGGAATCCGGTAAAATGTTTGTACCTTAAATTGATGTCATAAGTACAAAACATAATTTCCAAATTTAGTGGGCAATTACATTTTGCTTTTTGAGTAAAATTGACATGGAACAGACTTGACCAATTAAGGTTAAATTGATAAGAAATTGGCGCAAATAGTTCTAAAATATGGACTTTGTGTGCAAATTATCTCTAACTTTAATTTTTGTGCTGACCTCCTCCACTTACTGATTTTATATGCAAGAAGTCCTTTCCATTGATTTTGATCCACTCTTTCCGTTAAAGTATATCTATTTTAATGAAAAGACCCTTGTACTATTTCACCAATTAACTGTGCAAAATTTCATAATTCTCATATTTCTTTGAGCGGTATCATTTTTTGGCAACGATTACTATTATTTATCCATATAAATTGTTATTACTAAAATTGTTGAATAATGTCATTTAACTATAATATGGTGTTCCATTTATCTCTACAGGTTCTATCTTGTTCAGTTGGGTTCGGTTCTTTATTTATCCATTTTTCTCCATGTGTTTTATCTTGTTTTGCGGCAATACTTTTATTAAATTTGAAGAATCGAAAAGGACTTTTGACAATTGAAACAAATGTCATGAGAGCATTCAAAATCGCAGAAGGTGGATGTCAGACTTTAATTTCAATTGGAATAAATATGAAAATTATGAAATAAAAATTAGAATCACCATCAGTCATATAATGTTGATGTACTTGTCTAGCTCAATTGGTAAGAGTGTAACTTTGTTTGGTAGTTGCAATTGGTTGAGCCTCCTTTATAAAGTTAAGAGTTATTTATTTTTTTTTATTTTTTTTTAAAAAAGGTCAAATAACATAAAATAAATATCTACTAAAGTATACCAATTTCTCTTTTTCTCATTACACGTGTACTAAGTATAGATAAATCATTCTTCATAAAATTAGTTTAAAGATAGTCATCTTGATGTCTTGTTTTGTAGTGCTTTTTATTTATTTATTTATTTTCATAATTTAGTATTCATTCTTTTTAAGCCAAAGTAAAATGAAAATTTGATTATGACTGCTAGGAAATATGGACATAAAGTTTTTTCCATAAATTATTTTTTTAAGTGTATAAATGGATAAATGGTATAAGTAGTTTTTATTAAAATATATGTATTATAACGGAAAGAATGGATGGAAATCATCCAAACAAGACTTCTGCACATAAAATGAATAGATGGGGGGGTTAGTGCCAAGAATAAAAGGTTAGAGATCTTTTACGAAAAAGGATCATATGTTAGGGATCATTTACGTCAATTTCCTTAAATTGAATGCAAGAGTTGAATGGTACCGAATAATATCAACAAAACTTGCGAGCAAAATTAATCAGTTAACAAGTTCAGTCACATATAACATCCCCAGAAATCGCCTCTTAGACGAGTTACCAACTTCAACACAGTTATACCAATCTATTAAGCTTAAAATATTTCAGTGTCTAATCGATTAGTTTAGACCTATAAATAGTAAGCATGGATATTACTCTTATTAGAGCAACATTTTGTATCTTATAATACATATATTTTAACATGATACTCTCCGAACACTCTTTAACATGATATATCTATTTTTATATTTCTAATACTGGAAGGATATTTTGGAAATATTCCTCGAGCAAGTGTTAGAGATGATATATGTTGTATTTATTTATTTTTATTCATAACACTTCTTAGATATGTACTTTTCAACGAGACATGTCTTTTCATACATGACTTTTCTGTTGACCTATAGTTGACTTCTCATTTTGATTATCTCAAACAAATCACATTTATTTATAACAAGTTTATTTAAATGTTGATAGAAAACATGCAAACCAAACTTTGAAAAGGCAAAGGCGACGAACAAATAAAAGAAAAATCAACGCAGTGAAGAAGTCTATAAAAGCATGGCATGCATGTCAAGACAAAGAGCCATATTGAAGACAATTGACTTGGAACTTTTTAATCTCATATGTAAAGCTAATATGTTTCAATAGTTTGGCAATATATCGTAAAAAGGCTCAAGTGTCGACTTTATATGCAAAAAATTATTATTTCACCAAAATACTTGCAAGATATTTTTCAAGATATTCGATCTTATACAATGAAATGACAATTATCTTGAAAAATCATATATAAATATCTCTCAAAGTATTACCTTTATCAAAAGATCGGAGAAAAATTATTTTCTGCCATAGCGAACGTCTGGAAGGTCTGGTGGACGTCCGGTAGAAAAAGGGTAAAAATTTTCAACCATTCTGACTTCTTAAATAACAACGGCTAGTGAACAATCCGGTACGATAGCGGACGTCTGGTATGCCTCGTCCAATAGGACAGTTTTTTTGACGGTTTCACTACTATAAATACATCTTCACTTCCTTAATTGAAATAACATTTTTTTAGCATTAAGTGAGGCTTTTATTAATTTCAACTACTCTTTTAAATCTTTAGAAGATCAAATTATTTACATTTTGAAAAACTCTTGAGTGATCAAAATTATCATAAATCTTTCATCTCAAGTTTTTCAAAGTAACACTTGAGCTATATTCATTGCAATCTATTGAAGTGTTAAGCTTACTTCTCTCTCAATACTCAATTGTGATTATTCCATTTATTAAGAGAGAAGTTTTTCACTTGTAATACCTTATTCTCTTATTTTCAATTGTGGGGCGGTGCTCCTTGATTGTAAGTCACTGAAAGTTTTGTAGAAGGTTGGATTGCAGCATAAGTTAATCACATTTAGTGGAAAGGGTATTGCTCGTGATGGAGAGCTTGATAACGGAGGATGTAGATCATGATTGGATCGAACCTCCATAACATATCGTTTGCATCTTCTTTCCATTTCTCTTGTTATTTTTCAAAGCTATCTNTCATTTCGTGTCCATTTGGTGCAACGACGCTCGTAAGCACTTGAAAATTGAAGGACGAAGGTTCGAATTACATTTTGCCTTTATGATCGACGCATTTGTCCGAACTATAGTGAGTTTGTCTATAGTCCCACCGACTACACTACAATACACTCCGCTTGACAATGAAGAACAACCTAAGGGGAAAGTGTGGTATGCAAATCATAGCACGTGTAGATGTTCAACGTGTCCCGGACGTGTATCATGTCCTAAATATCGTTGCGCTACTTTCGGAGTGAAGCCGGTACCTCTGGACCCAAAACGGCAGCTGGGCGTTTCAAACGTACGGGCTACGTTTCTACTCATTTCGTGTCCATTTGGTGCAATGAAACTCGTAAGCATTTGAAAATTGAAGGACGAAGGTTCGAATTACATTTTGCCTTTACGATCGACGCATTTGTCCGAACTATAGTAAGTTTGTCTATAGTCCCACCGACTACACTACACTACGCTTGACAATGAAGAACAACCTAAGGGGAAAGTGTGGTATGAAAATCGTAGCACGTGGAGTCGTTCAACGTGTCCCGGACATGTATCATGTCCCAAACATCGTTGCGCTACTTTAGAAGTGAAATCGGTACCTCCGGACCCAAAACGGCAGTTGGGCGTTTCAAACGTATGTGCGACGTTTCTACTCATTTCGTGTCCATTTGGTGTAACGACGCTCGTAAGCACTTGAAAATTGAAGGACGAAGGTTCGAATTACATTTTGCCTTTACGATCGACGCATTTGTCCGAACTATAGTAAGTTTGTCTATAGTCCCACCGACTACACTACACTACGCTTGACAATGAAGAACAACCTAAGGGGAAAGTGTGGTATGCAAATCATAGCACGTGTAGATGTTCAACGTGTCCCGGACGTGTATCATGTCCTAAATATCGTTGCGCTACTTTCGGATTGAAACCGGTATCTCTGGACCCAAAACGGCAGCTGGGCGTTTCAAACGTACGGGCTACGTTTCTACTCATTTCGTGTCCATTTGGTGCAATGAAACTCGTAAGCATTTGAAAATTGAAGGACGAAGGTTCCAATTACATTTCGTCATTACGATCGATGCATTTGTCCGAACTATAGTGAGTTTGTCTATAATCCCACCGACTACACTACACTACACTCCGCTTGACAATGAAGAACAA